TCATCTTTATGATTGATCTTTATGGTCTCCTGTCTCCTTCCTTTTCTCCCAACAATGTCCTCAAGGAATACCTTTGTAAATTAAAGTTTGTTTTGTGAAATAGCGTCTCTGATTGAATCAAATGAGGTCTGGACTCACAAAGGGATAAAGGAAAAGGTCAGCAGATTGTGAGCGTATAATGAATATTGAATCAACCGCTACATGCGAGTAAACACAAACGGCAAACAAAACAAAACAATCGGCCCATATGACAATCTAAATGGAATGTTTTTTATTCCATTTCGCTACATGGAGAGACCATATCGACTGTAATGAAGCATGTTACACTGCATAAGGGTAAACCGCTGTATATGATTTTTTTTTTTTAAACATTATTTCAAAGTGCGACAAATGTCAACTGTTATGCAGTTTTTTTCATCGAGCCTATGCTGTGATGTGGTTGTAATTTACTGTCTACGCCCACAAGATTTTTGTGAGACATAAGGAGGGGTACATTCAGTTCATTCTGCAAGCTTGTGAACGAAACACTGTTTTTCCCCTTTCTTGTTTGAAAACATTGTCATCAAAGTTTTCTTCACAGTGTAGCACAGAAAGCCAGATATAAAATGGTCCTTTGCTCGGACATGTAACTGTCTTCCGTCTTGAATGTGACAGATCTCTCCTGTAGACTCATGCAAGTAAATGGACAGATGGCGCTGTATTCCAATATTCAATGCGTATCTCTTTTGAAATATACATAGCGTGTGAGTGCCTGCGTGCGTGCGTGCAAGTGGCTCAACTTTCATGCAACTTTGTACTCCAACCGCTGTGCTCTTTCTTACATACTCAAAGTGGACTACTTGATACTGTTACACAGTGGCAGCAGGTGGAGTTTTTACTGAAAGTGCTCTATAAATACAATTGAGTTGAGTTGAGTTGAGTAAGGTAGAAAATATGATGAGACAGAATAGGATGTTGGAGTGTAAAATGAATCTGTTGGGGGTGAGGAAGATTAAGATGAAAAAGGAAGAGCAGAGTATTTTGTTCCATACGTTGAGAAAGGAAAAGTGTTGTGTGGTCTTTCAAGAAGAGGGGAGACAGGACGGTGGTGGGCAGGAAGAGTTTCCAAAAGACTGGATAGCTACAGCCGAGGGAGATGCTTATTCAGGGTTTGAACACTTAAAAGGATGCAATGCGGCAATGGTGAGGATGCAGCGGAATAAAAAGGGTTGTCAAAGACTTGAGTTGCTTGATGTTGGGGCAACAGAAGACTGATTGGGAAAAGAAGCAGTGGTGGTACTGCTCTGAATGCACTGTAGCCTCCTGCCTTATGGATAGAAGAGATTGTGTGATGATGATGATGATGGAGAGGTCTTCCTTTTCTGCAACTGCGCAGTCTTGTTGCTGCTGCTGCTGGGATGCAGCGTCTGTCCAAGCTCCTCAAGACACCGCTCCGGAGGAAGTAAAGATGTTGGTAAGACTTTTTCAACAGACACAAAGTGAAAGTGAACTCATCAAAAATGTGGTCCCAAGGTACTGATAGATATCATAGCTGGATACCACTTTCATTGCTGCTCCTCCAATGTGCAGGGCGGGTAAGAGGATGTCTGTTCTTCCTGAAGTCTGCCACCATCTCCTTGGTCTTTTCCACCATGATGCAAACATTGTTCTCTCTTTGCACCAGTCCAGCAGATTTTCTACCTCCTCTCTGTACACTGACTCATCATTGTTGAGGATCCATAGTCATGTTGTTAGAGGTTTTGATCTGCACTTCATGACTATCACAGTGAAAAGAGAAAGAGAGAGAGAGAGAGAGAGAGAGAGATAGAGAGAGAGAGAGAGAGAGAGAGAGAGAGAGAGAGAGAGAGAGTACAGTTAACATTCACTGTGGTCAGCCAAAGCCTGAAAGGATTGGAGTACTCTTCTATTAAATCATGTTTCCATGGAAACGTTACTCTCCTTCACCTTGAGTGGGAAAGGTGAAACGTCTTTCCTCTCGGAAACAACATTACTGATTTAAGAGGCAACTGTGCTTCTTTAAATACAATATGTTGTTTAGTTCTTGCGTCTGAGCGTTTAGCACGCCAACACCTACCTTACGTCTATTGAGTTTTACCGTGTTGAAGATTTTATTTGACAAAAAAAAAAAAAAAAAAAACAACCAAACAAGCAATACTCATTCTACCAAAGGACACATCAAACCGACAAGTGAAAGCGATGATGTCTTTAAACATTGAGAGCTAGAGAGAGGCTATTTCTGAAGTCATTAAATATACATGACACATTTAAAATACATGCAATGTGTTCAAGCAACAAGTTGGTGAAGACGGCTATTGGTACCTTGTGGAAAGTAGCATGAATCAACTGTGAAAGGTTTTGGAAAGTTATAGAGCTAGTTTGAGACAAACTAAACTCAAAATAAATGTGACATCTGCCTCTTTTGTTCCCTGCAGTTGATTTAGGACAGGCAACAAGATGATCAGAGCTAATTTATTGCAATCACTTGGTCTTAATGACTGTGTTTGTTCAAGGCTTGTGATTGAATACATCCTTTATTCAATTATGGCTGTCCCTCGCACAGCACAGCTTGCTAATAAAACACAAGCTGGCTCAGTGTTTGTCTTGCATTGTTTTTTGGGGGGGTTTTGCCTTTCTTATTGCCCTCCTTTCAGCCTGTCTTCACCCTCAGTCTCAGTGCTCTCGTCCCCCGCCAAAGTTGAATTGTCGCCAATACGCTGGTGTCAACAGACATGGTTGATGTGACGACACGGTGGATTATTTGCTCTGTTACAGCCTCCCTCCATCAAATGTTTCTCTTTACACACTTTTGCTGGCATGGTATCCCGTAATTGTGCAAGCACCCAACCATTCAGTAGAAAAATACCAACCAAATCACTCTGTAGATGTTTCCTTTGTAAAGAAGTGACATGATTAATGAGTCCTGTTGACTCACGCTACAAAGATTTGATGGAGAGTCGAACAACAAGCATGGCGACATCAAAAAAGAAAGATGTATTTTGGTGCATGATATTATAGGTTCCTGTGGGGATGAATGTTCCTTTATTACTTTCCTGTATGTGAAAATCTAATCACGGCCTTATTTAAATCAGATTTCCTGGAAATATACGCTCACTGGTCACAACGTTAAGTAGACCTGCACAATCTAATGAGAGCCAATATGGGAGCTGTAGCAAACATTCTGCCTTTGCATATAGGCTTTCAATATGATGTGATCGCCTTCACCTGGAGGTCACTGTTTAAAAACAACCTAAGGCCACGGTTTAAAAAAATAAAATAAAGGATAAATGGCTCAAACAATGGTGGATGGATGGATGGATAGATTTGTTCTTCAGGACATCCTTAGTTTTACAACAGATAGCTATTAGTTTTAACATTCTCTATAGGTGGCGCCCAACAGAACTTGACATCAATGATCATTCCAAGAAATGTTGTATTATTACTCTTCCTATTTCACTTGAATATCCTTATTTTATTTGTTTATTGCCCTGAATAATATCCTTTGTTTTGTTCACATTTTGTGATAATTTATTGATGTCAAAGCAGTTTTTCCTGTGTTCACTTTCACCAGTATTCAGTAGCTCTTTGTGGTAGAGTAGTATCATCGGCAAATATGGTAAAACATATTTAAATATTTAAAAACATTGTATATATCAATATGAATAATTTTGTTTGGTGTGATGATAAAATCCACACACTCTCCATAAGGATGTGTTTTGCTTCATTTATTGTTTTTTTTTTCGACACAAAAATTCATGCAGCAGCACAATATTGATGACATTGCAGGAGCTCTTGTGAGCTTGCTCGGGAGATACTGTAGAATAGATCATGGGCTAGTTTTAGACCTTTTTTAAAGAATGGTACAAGAAGTCAAAATTTTAAACACTGGTGAATAGTATATTGTACAGTGTATGGTATCTTCATGTCATGTCCTGTCATGAAGATCTTGTCACCAAATTTCAATTGCCGCACAAGGACAATCATCTATGAATACTACTCCTTCTCTGTACTTTGTGGCCGAATTCAATTTGTATAACTTTGTGACTAATTATTAATAAGTAATTAACTATTAATAGATGGAAATTAGTATTCCTTGCAAGTAATTTAGCATCAATAAGTTGTAATTAACCATTCCTTGTAACAAAAGCCAGAGTATTGGGATTTATAGAAAAAACATTTGTCTTTCATTCAATATGTCAATTTCTCCTCTCGTTGTCCGACAATACATTTTCTAAAATATTTCTACCAATCAATGTTGAGTTACGTCTTCTTTCAAAAACTGTAAACGTGACTCGACTTTTTCATGGCCAACAACAAAATAGATCCCTAGAAATGACAACAAAAGAAAACTACTTTGTGCACGCGCTGTAAATATTACGTACGCACGAGGAACTACTTTGTGGTGACTACGAACTACCATTTCGTGCGCATGGACTACAGTACTACATTTGTGCACAAAATAGTGTGTGTGTGTGTGTGTGTGTGTGTGTGTGTGTGTGTGTGTCTGTGTCTGTGTGTGTGTGTGTGTGTGTGTGTGTGTGTGTGTGTGTGTGTGTGTGTGTGTACAAAGTACGTTTTTTTATTTCAAACTGTCATGTCTGGGGCTCCGTAGTTCTGGGACGAACACTTGTTTTTAAGTTTTTCAACATTTAATGAGAGCACGACTTTTTTGGCACGACGTTTCGGATCCACTGCAGCACTCTCATCCTCGTCTTTTCCCCGTTCAAGATGACTAGCATTCTCACTTTCTCTGTGTGGTGAACATTATATCCCACGAGGCGTGACATCTCGTGAACTCAAATGTGATGGAGTTGAGGATGTAGCAGCCTACGGTCCGGAAAACGCGTGGACGTTTTCGATTTGCTCTCAATTTCCGCTGCTTCGAAACGAAGCTGCGCTGCATTTTTGGACTTGTAGTTCATAAGGGCGGTATTAATAGTGCTTGTACATAGTAGTTTCCAAGTTAAAAAACTACATAGACCACAATGCAACTAACGCGGAACTGACTGCCCCATTGGTCACGTGTCTTACGATGCTCGGGCACAATAATAGTGTCCATCAGTGTGACTCGTCTGTCATTTTATGTTTTTCCTAGTTGTGTTTTAGACACGCAGTGTGTTTCCTATTTAAGATGAAAGAACTGTATTCATTAGTTGTTGTTTCTCTCGGTGTTTGCGTAATGGCCGGTAAATACTCGCGGGAGTCGAACGAGCCCCAAAAAGCTGGCGTCGGTGATGAGCAGACAGACGAATTCAGGATATCGAAGTTGAACCAGGTGTGGAACAAGGCCTTGCGGGTACGTATGATTATATCCCTCAATACATCGGGGGAGTGAACAATACGAATGTCACTAGATAAACAAAATATTCCCTGATGAATTGGTCCAAAGAGTGCCGCGAAAATATCGTCGGTATTCATCTCAATCGGGTTGAGATCAGGAGTTGGACTGGGCCACTCCAGAATTTTCTTCTTTTAAACCATAGGTGTCGAAGTCCGGTCCTCGAGGGCCGGTGTCCTGCATATTTGGAAAGATACAAAACATGCAGGAAAATGGCCCTCGAGGACTGTAGTTTGACACCTATGTTTTTATGTTGATTTCTTCTGTGTTTTTGATCAATGTCCTGTTGCAGCACGCATCCCTTTCGAGCCTCAACTGTTGTCCAGATGATCTCAAGTTCTTCTGCAAAATATATTGATACAAATTTCAATTCATTTTTCTACTGATCAAAACAAGCGGCCCAGGCCCTGAGTTAGTAAAGCACGCCCATGCCATGATGCTTCCTCCACCATGCTTCAAAGCTGGGATCAGGTTGTTTTGCTGTGCCATTTTCCCCTCCACGCATTGCTTTGTATGTTCTTCTCAAACAACTCAACTTTGGTTTCAACTGTCCACAGAATGGTTTGCCAGTAGTGTTGTGGAGCAGCCAAGTGCTCTTTAGCAAACTTAAAACTTTGTACACAGCAGACAATGCTTCAATACAAGAGACACTTCTAAACCACTGTGTGTTTTCTAGTGGATAGTAAGAGCAGCTTTAAGCCACACCTCCAATGTTGACTCACACCCGACTGATTATTATTCAGAGAATCTGTTGCGTAGAGGTTCACTTGTTCGTGTGGTAATGACATGACGTCATCTTTAGTGTACCCGAAATGAGGAGATCGAGGAGCATTGTCTCATATCCCCAAAATATGTGTACCTCTTCTCGGTCATTCTGAAATGAACATAAACACACTGCCACGTAACTTTGTTTAAAAAAATAAAATAAAATAAAAATATGTTTTGTGTGTCACTTGGTGTCGTGCTTTGTGCTCAAATATGTCACATCGTGGACATATTCCATTCATATTAGAAATCTCATTTGTTTTTTGAAATATAAAGGAGTACATAAAAAGATTGGATTTATTCACAAAAATTCTGAATTGGGCACCATGCCCTGCTGTGCGGACGTAGCGTGAGGTGATGATCAGATTACATTTTATGACCAATCTGCAGAAATTTAAGAAATTCCACTGGGAGCACATACTTTTCCCTGCTATGGTCTGTAGTCCACTATATTAAAAGCCATATACAATGCAGTGATTACAGAGGAGGGAAGGAGTTACTGATTCCAAACGCATCCATAGAGTTTGTAGCTGTGAATGTTGATTTTGCAGGTCAGCAAGCCTTAACAAAAGCACAAGCAGGCCGAATAAATAGCCAGAAAATCATCCCATTTCAGTGTGTGTGTGCGCCCGCGTGTACGTGTGTGTGTGTGTGTGTGTGTGTGTGTGTGTGTGTGTGTGTGTGTGTGTGTGTGTGTGCAATCTTTTTTTTTTTTTTTTTAATAGAGAGACTAATAAAAGTGAGTTAAATGAATGAAATATTCAGTATTGATCAGTGGAACAGACATTCTAACATTCAGTTTGATGCTGTCCTGCGTTTTGACAGATGCAGTTGTCCCCTGTGAAGCAAGCCGAGCTGCACAGTGACCTGAAAATCCAGGAAAAGGCTGAGCTGCAATGGAAGAAATGGAAGGTTGAGGGACTGGATGAAAATGGAGAGAAAGAGGCTCAAATCCGCCGTAACTTCAATGGTGAGGGTGTCTCTCTGTCTGCTGAATTGTCTTGGAGGACGCATGGATTGCATTGTTATGAGCAAGAACAATCAATGCTCCAGGTTGTGTCTGAATGTCTTTTGGTATTTGGCATGCATGACTTCAGGAGCACTACAATATATTTCTCCATTCTTGTCCTCCATAGGGCAATTTGTTTGTCTTTTTCAGCATACATTGGTGAGTGACTGTAACCTCCCTGGCTGGACTGGTTGCCATCGAAACAAGAGACATACAGTATAAATATGAACACACACATTAACACCTGTGGAGGACTGAGAGTCTTCAATTAACCCATGTTTGAATGTCGGAGGAAACTCACATTAGAACATGGAAATTACACATAGGTGGCCCTGAGCCAAGATTTGAACCGTAAACCTCAGAACTGTGAGGCAAATTTGCTGTCTAGGTCGCAGTACATCCCTGGGACGTAACATTCTTGGCTGATAAAAAGTTCAGTAACATACAAATGGCACTTATACCCTCAGTTGAGGAAACAGCTTGACATAAACGTATTCCTTTTTTGTACATTTTGAACAGACGCTAATGTATAAAGAATATGGATGAAACATTACCGGATTGTTGGCTTTCACACGACGAGGATGGCGCCTAATAATTGATCAACAGTGGTGTCACTGCAAGGCTTTAACAGGACGTTCTCGGAAGGACGTGGTCACTGAGCTTAGAGTGTCACAAACTCGGTTGCAAACTCAGCAGGTTTGCAACCGAGATAGAGAACACTCTGACATTTGCATTCAAAAGATTAAAGAAGGTTATATTAGGTTAATCTGAAAAGGTTAGTGTATTTTAGGTTCATTCTAAAATTTCACCTGAATGCCAAACATCCTTCACATTTTGTGAGCAGTGCATTTACTGCAGCGTATTGACCAGCCACAATCAGTGATATATGAGGGAAATGTTCAGTTTTAAAACTTATTTTTGAGTGTTGGTTGTTTATTATTGTGTGACAGAAGTGTCAGAAGTGTATGATATGACATTAGATTTGAATAATTCATGAACACCTGCATCGGCGGAGCACAGAAGCCATCTGGACGTCCTGCCCTTTTTACTCTGCACTGCATCAGTGTCCTTGTAACTCATGGAGAAAAAAAGAGTCAATGGTCCTGTGTGGGCTAAATATCAATGTTGAAGCCACAGGACCACAAGAGACCTTCATCACGCCAATGCACTGGCAGTGTATTCTTGTTTTACGAGTCGTTTATTGCATATCATTTAAGTCACACGAATGCATAAAAGGTTCAAATGTAAATGAGTGGCTCGTTTGTGAGGTTTTTAGACCATGATTGTGAGGGTTGTGTGCGCGTGTGCGTGCCACTAACTGGTTAATGAGTAATCCGAATGTGTTCCAGCAGCATGTGAATTGGTGCTGAATCAGCTGCTGAATCACAATTTACTGGAGCAGCACAATGAGGCCAGAGCCAAGTCCAACAACATTGGGTTGTTTCTCAGCATGCCATCGTGAGATGACATGACTTTTTTTTTTGTTGCCAACTGTGAGCCGCATCATTTTTTAAAATCATATTTTTTTAATATGTTGCGAAGATAAAAGAAAAGATGAAATTACTTTTCACTTTTCTACTTTCGATTGTGAGCCTCTCTCCAACATTTTGTAGGAAGTCTTCCTCACAGAACAGTGGAAGCTGAAATCGCTGCAAAGACAGGACCACCTCCATGAACCATATTCTTCTCGTTTTACTTGCTGTAGGAGTAACGGCCATGTGGCCCAATACTTCCCCCCCCCCCACCACCGGAGTGTAGCTTAGTGATCCACTGCTCACCGTTTCATCAAATCTTCAAAGATTAAAGAGACATGTATATTTTTTATTAATTTACTGGCAGTTCAAAATGCTCCCAGTTTGCAGCTGATGTGGTTTGCTTTGCCTTGTGTTCGCTAGTGATCCTGGCCAAGTACGGGATGGATGGCAAAAGAGACACAAGACACCTGGAGAGCAACTCTCTGAAGGACCATGACTTTCAAGATGGTGACATATTTGAAGATCCCAAGCTGGATAAACTATGGAACAAGGTGTGTCTTTGTGTGTGTGTGTGTGTGCGCACACGTGTGTACACTCTTGTTAGCAATGTGCAGGCAGTGTGAACACCATCTGGATTTGTTGTTCTTTGTGTCAAAGCTGGCATCAGCTAGTTTCATATTCTCACACGCCGTTACAGACGGTGCAGTCTCACCGCAACAAGTCTCTTATATGTCTCAAACAACGCCCCCCCCCCCCTTACTATTTTTATATTGTCGTCACCAAGTATAAAAAGTTTGTTCTCACCCAAACCAGCAGGAACTGTAATTATGAAATGAAACTTGAACCGCACACTGACATGGTGTTTGTTTTGCTGACCCTAACTCAGTCTCTGTATTTTGATCATCAATTAATGTGTCAAATATTTTTTTTGAAGAATCGTACTAAGAAAAAAAAAATTTAATTTTCCATCCCTTCATGAAAAAAACAGGACACTATTTCAAATTGTCAGTGCAGAAAATGCTCAAACGTCGAGAAAACTGATGAGGATTCAGTTCCTGGTTTGGCCCGTAACATGTCGGGAAAAATGTTGATCATTCATTTGCAAAGTCAAAGCAGATTTATGCAAAATGTCTTATTTTGATTAAACACAAAGATCAGCAAATATGAGTCAGAGATGGCTTGATATGTCCCTAAGTTTATATTCAGCTGTAATTTAAAAAATGTCTTTATTTTTAGTAGCACATCAGGTGTTTCATTTTTTTGTTTTTAAGTTTGACCTATACAACGTATGTTTTAATTTAATTCATAGCAGTGATGTTTCCAAAAAATCCACCTGTATAGAATTTAGCCAGGATAAAGTTGACACAAATGATTTGCTGTCGCAGGCCACATAAAATGACGTGGCGGGCCTGATCTGGCCCCCGGGCTTTGAGTTTTGACTCCTCTGCTGTACATAGACCCTTTGGGTACAACACTCATTCATTCCACCATGTCATGCCTTTCTTTACGCCTCACGTAAGATGGCATGTCCTGGTGATTTATTTGCTGTCAAGTATGTCTCCAACCATGTGCTTTATGCTCTTCCATTTATGTTTCGTTTGAGCAGGCAAAAAGCTCCGGCAAATTCACTGAGGAGGAGCTGCTGAACCTGAAGAGAGAGTTCCAGCACCACAAGGAAAAGATCCACGAGTACAACATCCTCATGGATACTGTGAGCAGGACCGAGGGTGAGCGATAAACCTTGATCGTCCTCACAAGCACGGGGAATGCACTTCTGCACATGTCTGTCCTTCCGTCAGAATGTTTTTATGTTCACACACACAGCCTGATTCACGAAGATCTTAAAATGTGTGTGGAAAATTGACCATGTTTTGTAATCAATAATAACAAAAATGTGAACTGGTCAGTGCTGCAAAGAAAAATGAATGAAAGGCAGACAGTAACTCCTTAATTAGGGGGTCTGAAAGGCAGCTGCAAACCAGGCACCAAATGAGAGGTGGCAGAAAGAACTCTTCTGCTCGTCACATATTGTGTATTCGGTGATGCAATTGCAAATTATCTAAGGCCTGCCTGGTACACAAATAAGGATTTTTAAACTTTTTTTGTTGTTGTTTTTAACCGAGAATAGACCTGATACAGTACATAAAGAGAGAAAATCAGACATTTAAAAATTGTGGTCATATTGTGTGGGATCTGCTCTAATAATCAAAGCTCCATACATGCGGGAGCATGTCTCTTGAACCTGCCGCAGGTACTTGGCTGCTTGTCTAATCCGCTTACATGTTTAGCCACTCACAGCCTGCCTGGAAGGGAATCTCCCATCAGCCCCCACGCCGCCTCCATTCCCATCACGTCTTGGTTAATTTCCTTTGTGTTTCTTGGATTTCAAGATGGACTGATCCAGTAAGATGGACTGATGGTGTTCAGTAAATATGTCCTTTGTGAACTTTTATTATCCATCATTTGAATTAATCATAAACAATAATGTGAATCCATATGACATAAGATGCTGTAATGTGTGAAGTGGAACTCTCACTAGAGTAGGTGACATATGTCGCAATTATTTTGTTCCTCTACTGCACCTCCCCAAAGACACACGGTGTTAATGTGGAAAACAACATTGCGTTTTTGATCTAGCGCTGAGTGCCGAGCCCCAAGTTCTGCTGCCCTGTTGCCACTGCTGCTTTGGACACACTTCTTACAGGAAAATAATCATAGGTCATTAACTCCTCAGTTGAGTGAGTGAGAGAGACAGAGACACACACACACACACACACACACACACACACACACACACACACACACACACACACACACGAGCTCCTCCACAGGTGGCGGAAGAGCTCTTCCTCCATTGTTGTCATCTGTCTAAATGATGAATGGTCTTGACATTTTTCTGTCTTGGGTAAAAATGCAAGGAAATGTTTGATTGTTTGGATGATGAGCACTCCCTACTGCCCGTTTGGATGATCAGGACATCCACTGTCACCATGAGCCTTAGTTGTGGTGGCCAGAACAAGCCCAATCTGATAGGTTTCAATGATAATTTGACACGATAGTGACATACCACTTTTTTTGTTTAGGGCCTTGAAGAAAATATAACGACTATGTAGTTTGTTTTTCAACCTTCTTCCTTTTCACGTCTCCGTTTAAACCGCTCATCCTCCCACATATGACTCTCAATGTGTCCCCCTCTGACTCTCAGAGATCCACAAGAATGTAATCTCCCCCCTGGAGGGCGTCGGCAAAGAGCAGGAGGTGCAGCAGAAGCACACGGAGCTGAAGCGGAAGATGAGGGACCTCGATGAAGGCTTTGCGCGCCTCCGCAAGCTCAGCCACGAGGGCTTCATCGAGGACAGCGGTGAGGGGAAACACCCACACACACTCTGCATATCAATGGAAGAAATCCCATGTCAATATGTGTATTAGGTCTCACTAATTACTTTGTGGAGCCACTCTTCGTCCTAGACTGCGTTCTCTGCATTCCCACTGCCTCTTTTTGCTCTCAAGCTTTTTGTTTTCAATGCCCTTATGTGGCAGTTGAAAGCAGTTTTCATGTGTGTCAATTGTTGCTGTGTAGAATTCCGGGAGCCCCGTGTGATCGAACTGTGGGAGGCTGCCAAGAGAGCCAACCTCAGTAATGATGAGCTGGACTCTCTCAAGGTAGGCTTTACATCTCCTCTGACAGCTCTCATCTATTTATTAGTGTGCGTGCGTGCGTGCGTGCGTGCGTGCGTGCGTGCGTGCGTGTGTGTGTGTGTGTGTGTTTTTATAGACACACACACACACACACACACACACACACACGCCTGATAACAGTGGAACCTCCAGAGGTGGAAAAAATACTCGGTACCCAAGCAGAAGTACAGATGCTCATGTGAAAAAAAGACCGGCAAAAGTAGACATACTGATTCTGTACTTACTGTCAGTAAATGTATGGACGCTGAAATGAAGTTAAGTACAGAAGTAAAGATTAAATTGTACTCTGCCTCAACCAATAGCAGTTTTGATAATTTGGTACAACGTTCTTCCTTCAAATGACGAATAGCAGAAGGAAAAAAACATTGCGGCTTTTGCTATGTAAGAGTTAGCTAGCATTAGCTGGACTTTTAATGTACGTAATCAAAACATGTTGCCATAAATCCGCTAATGTTTTAAATTGGCTAATGTTTTGAAAGTTGTAAAAAAAAAAATTTAAAAAAAGCTACATTATTGAAAGATAACTGAAACTATAGACCTGACCAGTAACTTTTTTTCAGAATAGTGTGCCAGATCTTTTTCCAAATGGAGGGCATTTCCCTCAAGATTTTACTTGAGTATGTCTCATTTTCACTGCTGTATGCATCGTTGAACTTTTTTTTCATAGAAGCCAATTGAAGAAATTCTTTGAGTCCTTGTCAAAATGTCAATATCATAAAAGGGTTTAAGTCACATTTTAACTCTTTGCTGTGACTTAAGAGTGTTGGACAAGCGTATGGCTCAATTGCTTAAGAGCCTAAGCGGGGACAAATCACAGGAGGGCAGATTGCAAGTGTCTCCTTAGTAAAAATGGCCGCTTGTCATAAGCGATTTAACGCTTATCATCAGCAATGCAATATTGTACTGAGCGGCCAGAACAGCCACCGCTTTACCTCGTCATGTCCATTTCCAGCTCGATGGTCATCATCGTATTTTGCCTCTGCTATTTCTGGTGCTCTTCTCAAATACACTTGTGGCCTTAATCGTATGAATGCTCACAAGATTCGCAAAAGTTGTCATCTTTTATCCAGCACAAGCGATGGCTTGACCGCCATGTTTATGTGTCACTTCAGGGGAATACCTTTCCTCAAAAGTTTACTTTGAATTGCGCGACCTTGAAGATGCGTTTCCGCTGAATTCTGCATATCGAATTCGTAGTGAAGATTTCTTAGTCAGGTGTGCTGTCAAAATAGTCCAATCACTGATAGCCTTTGCCCAGGAGCTCTCCCTGGGAGTCAAGCCCGCATTTCAATAGGTTGAGTTTTGTATTTATAAAAGTCGCTATTCAGGATCACATCCAGGCCGAGACTCTTCCTCTGTCGTGAAGGTGTTAAATTTGAGGCCTGCATGGGGTCTTGGCAGCCCAACAAAGCAAATCCTTCATGTCATGTTGAATGTTTGATTGCTTGTTTCGTTTTGCCATAAAATCTGTCCCAGCATTCAAACAGGATAAGTTAGTTTTTTTTCTTGTTACCAGAAATTCCAAGCAAATTTTTCACCAAATTCCCGATGAAAAGAAAAATAGTTGTTTACTGAAAGAGAGGTGACTGCACATGTCCAGTGCTGTGAAATACTACTTGCCGCCCCCCTTCCTGATATCTGTGTTCTTTGCATACATATCACACACAAAGGTTTCACTTCATCAAACCAATTTCAATAGAACGCAGGGACTACCCAAGGAAATAAAAAATTCAGTTTCTAAATGCCAATTTAATTTATTAAGGCACACCCCCCCCCCCAAAAAAAAACTACCCTGTCCCTCTGTGAAAAAGTAATTGCCCCCTCCTTGTTAAATCATAAAGTAACTGTGACAAACGACAGTTTTAGGAAAGCTGAGTTCAATTTCAAAGGCAACACCCTCGCACCACATTTGTTGAATCAAGTCTCAATAAATAAAACATTTCAAAATCGCATTTTGTATTTCCTTGGGTTGTCTGTGTGTAATATTAAAATTGGTTTGGTGAACCGAAATCTTTGTGTGTGATAAAAATGAACCCGGAACGGGGCAACTACTTTTTTCACGTCACCGTATGTGGGTTTCCCACTCAAAAAGGGCTCCCGAGAGAAACCATAACAATGATGTCTATTTCTTTGGTCCATTTAGGAGGAGCTGCATCACTTTGAGACCAAGGTGGAGAAGCACAGCCACTATCAGGAGCAGTTGGAGCTCTCCCACCAGAAGCTTCAACACGTGGAGGCTTTAGGAGACAAACAGCACATCAAGAGGAACCAGGACAAGTACAACACTCTGGCTGAGAAGACCAGGGAGATGGGCTACAAGGTATTTCCAGGGCATTCACTGTTCACTTAACTCTGAGGTTAAGGACCACGTGTGTCCATTCCATGTGTTGAGTTCAAATGCAAATCGAGTGAGAATACAAAAATGACTCAGTGTTCTTTTTTTCCAGATGAAGAAACACATGCAGGACTTACACAACAAGATCTCTGGTCAAGGTCTGGCCCACAATGAGCTGTGATGACCTCGCTCATGTCAACGCCAATGAAGAATCAATGATTTCAACTAAGTCTTGCTTCCCCTCTCACACTAACCCAGTCATACTAACTTAGTTGAGCCACTGTAAAACAATCCATTTTTTTTCTACCTTAGTGTTTGTGTATTGATTTGTTGTGGCGTTTACAAATCAAATCAGAACAAATTGGTTTTCTTGTACATACATGAAAAAATTTCCTGACAAACCAGCACTTTTTTGTAATAAATGATCAGATTTGCTGTTGTACGACATTGATATAGTGTTTGGAAGCAGCATGTAAGGAACAATTCACATAAAGACTGATACAAGAGGTAAAAACAACAAACACATGAAATTGGAGTCTCTCACATATACAGTGGTCAAACTGCTGTTTCGAATAGGTAATTGGGAGAGGCGCTATTTGGATTTGTTGCATTACTCTCTAGACCAGGGCTCGGGAACCTTTTCGACTAAGAGAGCCATGAAAGCAAAATATTTGGAAATGTATTTCAGTGAGAGCCATATATACACACACACACACAGACACACACACACACACACACACACACATATATATATATATATTTTAAAAAAACTGTATTTTAAAAGTGAATTCAACAAAATGTAATATAATAAGCCTTGTAATACTCACCATTAATGTGAATGGTTTTCCGTTCCTCACGATTGCTAGCAAAGCTAGCGGAATTATAGTCAGCTTGTCGGGTCCACCCTGCTTGCACACTTCCTTTCTGCTGTCTCTAGCAGGGTGTTTTGATGCGAACGTAGCATGGCGCGTGTCAAAGTGCCGCTTTACATTCGACCGTTTCATCGATGGCATTTTGTCATCGCAAATTAGACACACCGCAGAACCTGTTCCCTCCACAAAGGCGAATCCTTCGGTCCATTTGTCCTGAAGTGTACCATACTTGTCATCTTTTTTTCTTTTCGCCATCTTATTCGTCGAAGGATTTAGCTTTGAGCTCATGACTGAGCGAGTTGATTCAGTTTACCTGTTTCCACAGCAACGGCCGACGTAGGCCAGTATCATCCAATTAAAATTGCCCCTGCAGCAAACTGCAGCCCTGAACAGGACACGACCAGTGAAAAGTCGATGGATGGATTGAACAAGCAACAATATTTTGTTTTATCTGCAAGCCAGATGCAATCATCAAAAGAGCCATATCTGGCTCGCGAGCCATAGGTTCCCGACCCCTGCTCTCGACAATATAACAAAAGCTGTGTAAAAAGAGAAAAGGTTAGGAGAAAAGGTGAAAACATTTCTCGCGAGCCATAGGTTCCCGACCCCTGCTCTCGACCAATATAACAAAAGCTGTGTGAAAAGAGAAAAGGTTAGGAGTGAAGAGGTGAAAACATTGCACTGATCTATATTTATTCAAATCTGTTTTTGGCGAGCAACCAGTTCAGGGTAGACCTCGCCTACTGCCCAATGACAGCTGAGATGTGGCAATAACATCAAAAGAAAAATAGTTGAGAAATAGAATTTAATGTCATTCGTCAACTTGGCATAAATGCAATCGTTGGCTATTTACAAGCATGGTGATGGAAATCCGTCCCTGCGGTGAAATGAGCGGACTCCCGCTGAGAAAATCGGAACTCTGTGACTCAGCATGATAAGCTTCCTCCTCAGACACCCAAGTCCCATAAAAGTAAATTGGCGTCAAATATTAGCCTATTTGTCTTGATGACATCAAGCGGGGAGGGTGTGGCAAATTGGATCACACGCGCAGAGCTTTGCCATTCATCAGTTGGCGCCCTCTCCCGCAGCGCAAGCATCGGCATCGATTACCGTGATGAATAATTGTCCTGGCTGACAGCTCACTCTCTTCAGTCTCTCTGGATTCTTGAACTGTGCACCTGAGAAATAACTCTGAAGCTGCTTTTTAAATCAAACACATTTAAGCTCTGACGTCGAATCATTGCCAAGTACGCCAGGCCTCCAAACAGTCAAACGTATGACAGCGGGCCCAGAGTTTGGCATGTGATCATATTGTGATCATTAGATAGAATTTCATATGAGGTCATCTGAGGACGAGGCTCGAAGCAGTGCTCCCGCTCGGCACACAAATTGGAAAAATAAATTCAAGGTAAACCAATTAAAAAGGGTGACATTTCACTAAATTGGCGAACAGCCTTTTTCTTCTCCAACATGAGCATCAGCGGATTTAAGTGCCTTGCAGTCAAGAAAAACTCATTTAAATCTGATATAGGGTACATCTTCAGGGGAATCGGATCTATTTGGTGGGATTAACATGCATGCAGGTAAGGATTACACCACAAATTAATCAGTTTTCAACCAATACAGTAATCCTCCACTATTCAGGCTGTAATAGGGACCAAGGCAAGTAGCGAAAAGCGCGAGTGATTGCCTATGTGAATAGTTTCAACCATTAACTATGTTCCTAAAACATTTTGAAGGCCCTGTCAATGTCAGAAATTTGGTTAACAAACCTGCCAAATTCAAATGATAAACGAAAAAGTATTACAAAACAAGCCATCAAATGTGTGGAAAATAAAAGCCATCTCAAACGCTGTGAGACACGCCTGCTCAACTGTCTATAAAGTATCACTTTGTCGACCTGGAAAAAAGGTTGCTACTTCATCTTGCATTGTTCTTATGCTTACCAGGGTTACAATAGTTTTGGATGTTTCATTTTAATTTTTATTTTGTTCAGAATTTTTTTTGTTTAATTCAGTTAGTTTTAAAGCGGGATAGTCTTTCCCTTTTCAGTGCTTCATTTTAGTTCAGTATTTCTTAGTTGAGAAAGCGAGAGAGAATTTTTAGAGTGCAAATATTAAAATAAGTAAAAAGTCACTATGTATTACGTAGTAAACAAATGACTGTTCAACCTTACCGCTGAATGGCAGTAATACAGAAAGTAAACACATTTAAAATCAAATTTGAAAGCTCATTTCTGAAATTGACTGGCAAAAATGAAAGGTTTCTCTCTAGGCCTGCTCTCCGCTCCTTGTAGCACATCAAAGTTGATGGATAATGTTAGAGCAACTGATTAGGGCAATACAAAAATGTATTGTCCCTGAAGAGAAATATAGAAATACAGTAATCCCTCGTTTATCGCGGGGGTTAAGTTCCAAAAAGAACCAGTGATAGGTGAAATCCGTGAAGTAGTGAGCTTTATTTTTTACAGTTTTTATACAATACTGAACTATGTATACAATGAAACCAAAGACCAAAACCTGTTTTCAGGCCCAAGCACAAAAAAAAAAAAAAAAAAACCCAAAACGTTTTCAACAAATAACTATAATAGTTTTTGGAAATACTGTACTGTAAAATAATATTTTTAATAGTCAGCATGAGGTTGGACTGTTCACGTCGGTCAGTGCCTTAGCCAATCAGGATGCAGAACGCAATTCACTGTTTAAAAGCATTAAAAAAAAACTGCACTAAAAAAATCCGTGAAACAGCGAAGCCGCGGAAAGTGAACCGCGTTAGAGCGAGGGATCACTGTGAAAACAATAGTTTTGGAGCAGACTTGCTTACGTTATGGTGCAAATAATGTTAACTATATTGTTTCAAGCCTCGTTTATCCCCCAAATATGGACCCCCCATCATGTCAGACAAACAAATACCATTCATGTGATTGACAAAGATCTATATTTCCATAATTCAGTGCTTACAAAGTTGTCAGTCTTTCCACATTCGTTATGTTCAAACAGGTACAATGGATCAAAAATGAAAGGTTTCTCTCTAGGCCTGCTCTCCGCTCCTTGTAGCACATCAAAGTTGATGGATAATGTTAGAGCAACTGATTAGGGCAATACAAAAATGTATTGTCCCTGAAGAGAAATATAGAAATACAGTAATCCCTCGTTTATCGCGGGGGTTAAGTTCCAAAAAGAACCAGTGATAGGTGAAATCCGTGAAGTAGTGAGCTTTATTTTTTACAGTTTTTATACAATACTGAACTATGTATACAATGAAACCAAAGACCAAAACCTGTTTTCAGGCCCAAGCACAAAAAAAAAAAAAAAAACCCAAAACGTTTTCAACAAATAACTATAATAGTTTTTGGAAATACTGTACTGTAAAATAATATTTTTAATAGTCAGTATGAGGTTGGACTGTTCACGTCGGTCAGTGCCTTAGCCAATCAGGATGCAGAACGCAATTCACTGTTTAAAAGCATTAAAAAAAAACTGCACTAAAAAAATCCGTGAAACAGCGAAGCCGCGGAAAGTGAACCGCGTTAGAGCGAGGGATCACTGTAAAAACAATAGTTTTGGAGCAGACTTGCTTACGTTATGGTGCAAATAATGTTAACTATATTGTTTCAAGCCTCGTTTATCCCCCAAATATGGACCCCCCATCATGTCAGACAAACAAATACCATTCATGTGATTGACAATGATCTATATTTCCATAATTCAGTGCTTACAAAGTTGTCAGTCTTTCCACATTCGTTATGTTCAAACAGGTACAATGGATTGACAAACAAACCTGTGAATTCACTTTACGGGGTGTTTAAAATACACTAGACAGTATATTTGGACTCGTGAATAAAAAATAGCTTACCTGTTTTAAGTTTGCTAAACTACAAAGAAGCTAAGCTTTGGCGGCACCTTTTGGCATCTAGGACCTTAATCGGAAGCACAAAAAATATATACTGAAGGACAAATAGGTGAGTTTTAAGCAAATAATGGAGGTTTTAAAAAATGCAAAGAAAGAACCACAAATATGCAGGAGATTCCTGTACATCATCCACACAACAGACTTTCTAGGCATTTACTAGACTGGATATTCATTTTCAAAGTGGAATGGATTGTTCTGCAATTACTGATCAAAAGCAAAACTGCACGTTGTTAGGAGAAGTTCAGCTTTGGAGGAGAGTCCAGTGAAAAAGTCGTCCACTCGGGTGGTAACAAAGTCAGCGCAGTGGCCCTTGCCGCCTGTTGTCCATCCGAGTCAGTTGGCCCCCCCTGCCCAGTGCATGCTCGCCACCCTCTCGCTGAGCTGTTGCCATGGCACCGTTGTTTCCATGGCTATACCTGTCAATGGAGCCCTCTTCTGGATCGGAAAACAGTGGCGGTGGGGGAGCCAACAGAATAATTATCCGTACAGTGATGTGTTCGTTGATTCCATTCCATTTATGATTATGGTTCACGATGTAGCTTTTGAACATGCACCGTGATGAAAGTGAATATGTGGCTTGAAGTTGTTGAATATTTACTAACTATAGTTTTCTGAGTAAATAAAGCGGGCGCTACAGCATTTTGTTGCACCGGAATTGGAGAACGCACGGGACTAAAACTTACCATAGGCTGACTGTGTCCTGGCTGTGCTGAGTGCGATTGGCTGCAGAGGGCTGGAGGCTGGCATGGAGGATAGCATCCTAATCAGATCCCCGTCGTGACAGTCATGGTGAGTCGCACATAGCTGGTCTGTATGTGGACACATCCACGTAGATGACACGCTTTGACAGTGACACAAGCACACTGTTGTTATAACACACCTGATGAATCAGCAGAAGACCGTGGACCTGATGAGGAGTTGCCAACCTAACAAGCAAGCATATGAATAATTTAGTAATTGTCGAGCAGCGCAGGGGACTACTAGTTTGCATGTCTGCAACGCAGTCACAGTTCTTGGGGTTCCGCCCTCATGCTAAAAAACATGTATGTTAGCTAAGGTTCACTGAAGACTCAAAATTGTCCATGAGTGAAAGAGTGTGAATGGTTGGTTGTCTGGTTGTGCCCTGCCTCTTGCCCAGTCAGTTGGAAGAGGCCACTGCTCAACTGTGACCCTAATGAATACAAGCAGTGGATAAAATGGACAGATTCGTGCACCATTAATGGTTCAAAATGGCTAACATGTACGGTATGTAGCGATAAGGCATACAATTTGTTACGTTTATTTTTGATATGCGAAATAGGTGAAGATTTCGGAGAACGCGACAATATGTCATCATTTAACTTTAGAATTGTTTCAGTGTAATGGTAATTTGATGTCAACAGTTGTGGCAATTGTTTTCCCAAACTTGCCCGCGCAAACAAGTGAAAAAAAAAAAAAGCAACGTAATATATGACATGACTTAAGAGGATTTGTGATCATGTTTAGCACACACAATCGTTTGGTCATCAACTGTCACTGTGCGATTTTATTTGCCACTTGAAGGTAAATTCTACGTCACAATACGATTGCTACTATGTATTACTTTAAATTCCAGCACTTTTTCTTCTCTAGAATGTGTTAATAGATATTCTCCCTGAGACTCATCATTCAAATCTTACCTGCATCGGCAAACTTCTGCTATTTGCTGTGCGCCACTGCTCTGGTGTGATGTAATTATCAAAACTTTGACAGGGCTGGGAAAAGAAGACAAGAAACCCAGTAAATACAATCCAAACATCATTAAAGTGAAGGTGTGTCGTTTTATGAGCAAAAACAAATGATTTCATTTTCAGCACGCTGAGCTGATGGCACTTCAGAATTCAGGAAAGAATGCCTCAAGAAAAGCCAGTTGCCATGCAGTCAATGTGGCCCTCTTTCAGTGTTTCTGCAAGTTTCGTCACTACTCTGTTAAGTCAATGAGTCCATTTTTGCTGGGAATGCAGTCCGAACACACACACACACACACACACACACACACACACACACACACACACACGAGATGTTCGAAATCACAAGCCGCTGTGATGAGAATGTGCTCCTGACAAGAGAGATGATCTCGGAAACCATCAGAAGATGATTTAAAACACAAGGTCACCGGTCCTTTCTGAGAGCCTTTGAGGTATCAGACAAATGTATCAAAAGGACAGCAGCAGCTCCCGGCAAGGTCTGCCCCTCAACTCCCGATCCCACAAAATATGGAAACCTCTAAACACAAATGCCCCTAAGGCCATATATACCATTTGTAGCCAAGCTTTGATGTTTTGAGGACAAAGTTAGAGAATGTCGACTTAATGCTTTGGCCACAAAGAATTTTTGCAACAATTTCGTTTAGTGGTGTTCATCTACTGAATAACGCTGCTGATGCTGATGCGAACCCTTTAGTACCTGTATTTCTTCACAAAGTGACGTTCCAGCTACAAACAGTTGCTGGGGGGCGGACTTCTCCTCATTATCCATAGGGGGCGTCCTGTCACTGAGCCAGGAGAGCGGGCACTGCATCAAAGCCTGGCGCTGAGGTTGGGATCCCGGTAAGCCGTCTGTCAGTCCTCGGTCCTGACTTGCAAGCCGATCCCTGCACATCGCACTGTCCCTGCCTGTTTCAGAGGGGTGCTCCTGACCTGCTGAGGGGTCCTTCAGGGCCCTGTTCTGGATCAGACTCCTGGGCGTATCATAGCGTTGTCTGAGCAGGCCAGAACTTTGGCGCTCATCATCGAGCCTAGAGGGCCCACCACTGTGTTCCTGATGAGGCGTGGACTGGGAAGGTGAAGGATTGGGAGGAGGAGGAGGAGCAGAGGGAGGAGGAGCAGATAGAGTGGCCAGGGAGCCAAATTCCTCTCCTGCTCCCTGGGTGGCCATGTCCACACTGCCTGTGCAGGAGGAGAAGCTACCTGAGCTCCCGGTCGCGATCCCAATGCCGCTATCCAACGAGCTCTGGCGCCCGCTATCATGGAGACCACGAGGATGGAGTTGAGTGGAAGATGGACCACAGCCTCCCATCACAGCAGCGTACAGGCGGTCATCTGAAGTGGCCAAGGCCTTCAGCGAGGATGAGCTCAACGCTGTCTCGCTGGGGAGGTGTAATTTTACGAACGGCTCTGCCCAGAAAGGATGTCGGCTCCCATAGCTCGTGTCGGATTGGCTGGAGGAGGAGCTGGAGATACTGCTGCGGTCGTCCCCGGCAACAGATGTGCTGCAGCTGTAAGTGGAAGCTGAGAAGAAAATCATCAAAACGTGTTCAGTGATTTATTGACTGAATAATCTTTTTTTTTTTACATTGTATTGTATTCCAGTATTAAAGTTCTTTTTGACCACAATTTTTTTAAGAATATAGTGTTTAGAGTACTGTAGATAAAATTAATGCCTATTTTCCAGAATAAATGTATGTGTGATGTGAGTGTATGATGGTGACAAAGCCGTATTTTTAAAAATGTGACTTTCTTCCTTTGTTGAAGTTTGACATCAATAATATTTTGTTTAGACTCAAAACTTGACAACTTTTTTTCCCCACACAAAGAGGCAAGTGTTTAATTTGCTGGGCGTTTTGGAGTAGAGATGGTATTTTGGTGTTAGGATTATTTTGGCGATGCAAGGGGTCCCTGGACCCCAAAAGTTTGAGAAGTCCTGCTGTAGACAAGATTTACCTGTGCTGCTCGCAAGACTGCAAGTGGACAGCATGCTGAGTCTTTTCTCCAGCTCGCAGGCTTCCTGGTTGAGCCGTTCTTCAACCGATGCCGGATTGGCATTGATGGTCTCTGCTTTTGCATCAACACGCAAAAGCATATCGTTAAATCACTGGGCCAAGAAATACAGGATTCCCACTCTTCCACTTGCTTTTTATTTATGGACCTTTTAAGGACTTTTGAGGGCTAATTTAGCCATTTTCTCAAGACATTTTCTCCATTCACTGTATACGAAGGCCTTTTTAGCCGAAAAAAATGACCATGTATAGTCAGGCATTTTTAGCTGAAAAAAATGACCATTTATAGTAAGGCGTTTTAGCCGAAAAAACGACCACGTATATCGTAAGGCACTTTTTGCGAAAAAAAAAACGACCATGTATGGTAAGGCGTTTTTCTCCCCAAAAAAACGACCATGTATCGTAAGGCGTTTTTAGCCCAAAAAACAACCATGTATGGTAAGGCGTTTTGAGCCGAAACAAATGACCATGTACAGTCAGGCCATGTATAGTAAGGTGTTTTCAGCCCACAAAAAACAACCATGTATGGTAAGGCGTTTTGAGCCGAAACAAATGACCATGTACAGTCAGGCCATGTATAGTAAGGTGTTTTCAGCCCACAAAAAACAACCATGTATGGTAAGGCGTTTTGAGCCGAAACAAATGACCATGTACAGTCAGGCCATGTATAGTAAGGTGTTTTCAGCCCACAAAAAACAACCATGTATGGTAAGGCGTTTTGAGCCGAAACAAATGACCATGTACAGTCAGGCCATGTATAGTAAGGTGTTTTCAGCCCACAAAAAACAACCATGTATGGTAAGGCGTTTTGAGCCGAAACAAATGACCATGTACAGTCAGGCCATGTATAGTAAGGTGTTTTCAGCCCACAAAAAACAACCATGTATGGTAAGGCGTTTTGAGCCGAAACAAATGACCATGTACAGTCAGGCCATGTATAGTAAGGTGTTTTCAGCCCACAAAAAACAACCATGTATGGTAAGGCGTTTTTTACCGAAGAAAAAGACCATGTATAGTAAGGCGTTTTTAGCTGAAAAAACCGACCATGTATAGTAAGGCGTTTTTAGCCGAAAAAAACCCGACCATGTGTATATATAGTAAGGCGTTTTTAGCTGAAAAACACGACCATGTATAGGGAGGCGTTTTTAGCCAGAAAAAAAAACGACCATGTACAGTAAGGTGTTTTTAGCCAGAAAAAAACGACCATGTAAAGTAAGCCGTTTTTCGCCGTAAAAAAACGACCATCTATATAATAAGGCGTTTTTTGCCGAAAAAAAATAACCATGTAGAGTAAGGCGTTTTTTTAGCAGAATAAAACCGCATCATGTATAGTAAGGCGTTTTTTAACAAAACGACCATGTACGGTAAAGCGTTTTGAGCCGAAACAAACGATCATGTATCGTACGGCGTTTTTCGCCGAAAAAAAAAACGACCTTGTATGTAGTAAGACGTTTTTAGCCCCAAAAAACGACCATGGATAGTAAGGCCTTTTTTAGTCGAAAAAACGACCGTGTATGTTTTTAGCTGAAAAAAAAACGACCATGTACGGTAAAGCGTTTTGAGCCGAAACAAACGACTATGGACAGTAAGGCGTTTTTAGCCCAAAAAACGACACTGTATAATACGGCGCTGTTAGCCAGAAAAAAAAAACGACCATTTATAGAAAGCCGTTTTTAGCCGGAAAAAAACTACCATGTATAGTAAGGCATTTTTAGCCGGAAAAAAACGACCATATATAGTAAGGCGTGTTTTAGCCGAAAGAAAACGACCATGTATTGTAAGGCGTTTTTAGTCGAAAAAAAGACCATGGCTCATAAGGCGTTTTGAGCCGAAACAAACGACTATGTACAGTAAGGCTATGTATAGTAAGGCGTTTTTAGCCCGCCAAAAACGACCATGTAGTCAAGTCATTTTTCGCCGAAAAAAAAAAACAACCATGTAGAGAAAGGCGTTTTTTAGCAGAATAAAACTGCATCATGTATAGTAAGGCGTTTTGAGCCGAAAAAAAACCCGACTGTGTATAGTAAGGCGTTTTTAGCCGAAAAAAAACCCGACAATGTATAGTAAGGCGTTTTTCGCCGGAAAAAAACGACCATGTATAGTCAGGCTTTTTCAGCCGGAAAAAAAATGACCATGTATAGTAAGGTGTCAGCAGGGGATTCATGGTGGATTTAATGAACAGAAAGCCACATATCACTGAGCTGGTGTTCAAATCATTGCTGCCAAAGGAAGGGCACATCTTTATTTTTAGGGGCAATCACCTAACCGTTTATTTGACATACTGTAGGTCAAATTGACCCTAAATGATCCGAAGTGATCACCTGATCATAATCGGAACTCATCGGACACGGCGGGAAAAGCAGAGCGGAAACCAGGAAGGCATGTAGCCTGACAGGGGGGTTTGAGGGGAAGGGCGGCAGGTGCATTTTCTAACAAAACTATTAAATGGAAAGGTGGGGAAAATGACATACAAAAATGAAATGAACACCACAGGTTAATTTTTTAATTTAATTTCCTTCACAAATAATGCAGAGTTGTGCCAGTGTGAATAACTTGGTTTTCAGTATTCTTTTAAAACACATCCTCACTTTATTTTACCACTTGTCCGATCACAATCCATGTACGCACTGCAGTAGCTCATAGGAAGGTCCCCACTGAAGCTTACTGTACAAGCTTTTGTTCAGTCCACTTCAATGAATTCTTCTCCAAGGAAAAGAGAAGAAACCATCGATGCCAAAGTGTTACGATGTGAATGTTGCTTCGGGCGTTCTGTTGAAAAGGTGTTTAGCCAAACTAAAATCAATGTGCTGGCTATAAAAAGAGCAACTCCCTGCTGAAAACAAACAAAACTCCTGTTGCATGTCTGCATCATGGCGAAGGGGGATGAGGTGAGCGAGAGGGTGTGCGTTACTCTGTGCACATTGCAGTGGGCCATTTTGTGCGCGGAGGTGACAACAACCCAACCAATGGAAGTGTGCCTTGGCTCTCTTCGCACCTAATGCTTCACGTGCTGATGCTAAGTTTCTTCACCACACTTTGTGAGGTGTCAACTAACATCCCTCCTAGCATGGCGAGGCAATGCTAATTTTAACAGCAGTGAAGGACGCCAGGCCCGACAGCAGACGGCCTTTCCATTTTTTTTTTTTAACTGAAGCTAGGATCGAGAAAAAAAAAAGTGAAAACAGCCCATCACAAGCATGGTTGAATGAACACATGCTGACAACAACAGCATGCCGCACCCATGAAGACATCTGCAGAGTAAATCTATAACTCACTGACACTGCCAATCAAAACTCAATGAGAAGGCAGGATTTTTGACTGTATCTGATATTAGTAGGTGCAAGTTTCCCACATGTCGGGGCCAGCAAGTTTAGAGGATTACAGTGGTGAGACGTGTTATGAATGCATTCACAACTGTTATGACTTGGCATTGTGGAGCCACATGACCAAAAAAAAAAAAAAAATGGATCCAGGCCAGAATTTTACATTACTCTACAAGTGGGGCAGTGCACCAATTGCAAAAATGAGTTTAAATAGCATTCAGGTGCCTAAGAAGGTCACTTCCGGTGGCTGTTGCCGTGCAGGACAGCCACAGTGAAACAAGCACGTTTGTGTCTAGAAAAAGTCAAATCTTTGGTCACATCTCTGCCTCTGCCACACAGCGTCTTGAAAATGCAGGCGACACATTTCACACAAGTTATGTACAAAGGTTCATCTTTGGCTGACCTTCAGGGCTTTGAGGATGAGGCGTTTCCGTTAGCACGGCTCCCGAAACAAACGCCGAACGCTGAGCAAAGCATGCATGTGTGTGTGTGTTCACCTGGCAGGGAAGGTCGCAGCCCATGTGTCGCCCTGCTGGGGTTGATGCCCCTGACGATGCAGTCAAACAGAAAACTGATCTGCTCTCCGTCTGAGCAGGACAAGAAGAAAACTCCTGCCCCTGCAGCATACATGAAAAAGAGGAAGCAAAAGCTAGAACCACATCATCTTATGGTGTTTTGTAAATATATATATATATATATATATATATATATTTTTTTTTTTTTTTCTTTTCAGGGAAGGGTAGTTGAGAGCAAGTGGTGAATGTAAATGGATGGAAATTTCCAAAAGAATAGAATCCATATGAAAATAGTTGAAACGATCAAGGCGACCACGTCGAGCTATGATAAAGAATTACTGTATTCCACGTAGGGCTGAACAATTTTGAAAAATAAACACATTGCGATTTCATCCCTTCAATATTGAGACTGTAGCATGCAATTTTTTTTCTCTTTCTATGTCATTTTTTTAAACAAACAAGCAATACTCTTTTCTTGAAATTATTTTCCAGGATTTTTCGACAATTCTTTCATTGTTGGAGAAATGCTATTTTCTACAATTCTATCATCTATTTTGTACATTTAACCAGATTGCTTCAATGTTACAAAATTGACTCAGATAAACGAACGGCGGCCCCCAAAGCTGCAATTCGAGTCTCATCGTCCACTCTTACTCGAACGTCACATCAATATACAGTAAGCTCTCACTTGGATGTTGACATCAAGATTACTTTCACTGCTGAGTAAATCAAGACGATGGAGTACAGCTGATTGACTATTGATCTGCTGATGGAATGGAGAGAGGACAAAACGCATGCTAGAAACTATGGCACTACCACAGCCAGATTGACGGAGCAATCCAGGGGCGGCGTTATGGTCAAACTTCAGGTTTCTGAAACAATATGAACAATCCGTTGCATTGACACGCATGAGGGGGACATTAGCAGTCCTGCATTTGAATATCCTGATTTAAACGGTGACGCAGAGACAACTTCCAAATAGACGTCATTTCTGCTTCTTCCTTTCTACTTGTAGTAAAACACCCGATATTCATGTGAAACATTACGGAGAATTCAATGCATTCAAGTTAGGTTCGCTTAATGCGTGATAAGATGGCCGCCGGTGAATTTAGGTGTAGGCGACAGCCAAATGGCGTTGAGAATGGACTTAATAGTACAACGTTACACGTAGGTGCCGCACACCTGACACACAGCCAAATAAATAAAAAAAATAAAACAGTGTTGTTTACCTTTCAGTCCCACAGACCTCAATGACGTGTCCCGTATTGTTTTTATTTCACCAATCACCACGCTGTATGTGAGCGCGTCTGTTGTTTTTATCTAGATTCTTGATGCCTGTGTTCTTGATACCGACTGGCTGTCGCCAACCAAGGACGGACTGACTGATGTTTCATCCGTCTGTCTGACGAAACGCCCAACGCCCACCAATGTAGATGCATCTTTATATTAGTAGGAAAGTCCATTTATTTCAGTAGTTCAATTTGTATGTGAACCTCATGATCTAGATTCATTAAGCAAACAGGAAACTCATTTTATTTACCGATGGATTTCTTATCCAATGATGATATTAAAAATTATTTCGATTGTGTCTTTTTTTTTCGAAACAATATGTCCTTTTAGTCATTTTTGTAAGATCCTTTGGTTCTTCTCTGCTTTTGCTTCTGAATGTCATTAACTGTTGTGTTTGGAAAAGCTTTGAAAGTGTTGATTCCTTGCTTGTGTCAAACACATTGAGCTGCCTTTTAGATGAAATGTTCTTTAAAAATAAAACTGCCTTGCCTCGCCTACTACTGTGTGTGTGTGTGTGTGTGTGTGTGTGTGCGTGTGTGTGTGTGTGTGTGTGTGTATGGGCGCACTGAAGGACATGGAAAAATTGCTGCCATAGCACACTGAGCTTTGAATTACTTTCACCTCTCACACGTTTGACAGCTTTCCAAACTCTACAGCAAATCATTTATTGCTGCCTCTGTTATGCGTGTCTATCTATCTGCGTGCGTTCGTTCATTAGAAAAGCAACACGAACACATGCGGACCTGATAGGCCAGGCTCTGGCAAACATCGATTCAAAGTTGCTGCTCGCTCGTTGGCTACCAATGTTGCTGTGGATGCTTTCACACAGAGGAAGTCTGCAAGAACTTGGTCACTTTTATGCTGTCCCAAAGTCAGTATTGCCGCGAGCAAAAGTGCTTTGCGCAGCAACGCTGTCCACTGCTATGTGTGAATGTCACAAAGATGGTCATGTCACTTTGGTTGTCATCTGTGCAGCCAGCGGTATTAGTTAGCACGTGAGTGCTGACTGTGAAAGTGCACCAGTGTGTGCATGGTGCCATTCAAGGGTAAATTATTTTCCACAGCAGCTTTACATGACCGAGAGACACACATTTACTGAAGCATTGCTCTTAAGTATTTGTAATGATTGCACTGATGAGGATTTGATAGTCAGCAAAAGTAATTGTAACTTGACAGCCAAAAGGCAGATGCGATAAACAAATGACTATAGTGGAACATCATGTGTCTGTCATCTCACACACAAATTATTAACTTTAATGGTGTGTTAGACTTTTGAGTTGCATGAAGCCGACTCAAATTAAAAGCTGTACGGCTTTTGTTGAGGCATAACCATGTTCGCCATCAAACTTCTGACAATGTTAAAGCAGGACAAATGACTATAGTGGAACATCATGTGTCTGTCATGTCACACACAACTTCACCTGCTCTCATGCACGAACTGAATTAAATTATTAACTTGAATGGTGTGTTAGGCTTTTGAGTTGCATGAAGCCGACTCAAATTCAAAGCTGTACGGCTTTTGTTGAGGAATAACAATGTTCGCCATCAAACTTCTGACAACGTTAAAGCAGCGTTTTGTTTTTATGGTCCACATTGGTTTGCTTCTTCTTGAACTTCAGTGAGGAAAACGACATTGAATTGCGCACCTAAAAGCATTACATTTTTTTCAAAAGGTGACGGTGTGTCTTATTATCCAATGTACCTTATATATGGATCAAGATTCTGATTTCTTTGACATAGTATTTTAAATGTTCTGTATAGCAGTTTGTTACAGCTGCGGCAGTTGTGAAAGCGTGATATAAATAAAGCTATGTTGTATTATAGTGTATTCCCTCTAGCGTAGCTCCACCTAGTGGATGCATAACGCTATCTCAGCCACCATCGTAGCTTCTATTCTATGCCCCTTATAATGCGGTGCACCCTATATATGAAAACAGCTTTAAAATCATTGAAGGTGCACCTTATACTCTGAAGCGCCTTATAGTGCGGAAAATACGGTACTTAAAGCATCAAAAACAGTTCAAGCAAATCTAACGATGTGGTGACTGACTGACCCTGCAAATGATCGTTTCTATTTGTATTATTTATGCATTGATTTCTTTGTTGGGAAAGACGTTATTACAAAGCTTCAAACCTCCCGGTCCATTTGGACCTGCAGGAGAGCAGAATTTATTCCTGCCTTAAGATGATTTACTGAAATAAGTGTTCAAATGTTGAGGTCATAAAACTGAAGACTGCCTGTAGGGAACAGATAAATGCGATAGAATGTGTTCGCAGAAATGCTCGCTATTTCAGTGTTTGACAAACCTCGGACTCAGCGGAATTTTGAAACATTATAAAGGTGATACACCATCACCACTCACTTTATGACAGGCCTAAATAAATTATAGAAAGCATGACTGGCTATTACTTTTTCATATTCCATTTGTCAATGAAGCACAAAGGAAAATGGATCCAAGAGCCATATATATACATATATATATATTTTTTACATATATATATATATATATATATATATATATATATATATACACACACACACACACACACACACACACACACACACACAAATGTTTTTGTACTTTGGGTTGTACAGAATTGCTCTGCATAATAAGGTGAGCTGTTTTAATATTTTGCCCCTACATAAGGACATCAAATTATTACAAAGTAGAAACATTTCGGTAAAATCCAGTAAAGGTCTGAAAACTAGCACCACCATAATAATCCTGTTTTAGCCTATTTGAGTATTGCTCAACTAATATTTCTCTGTCAAACCCACTTTAGCAGTATCATCTTTGTAAACGCCTAATTTTAGACACAACTTTTGCACTGACGCTCATTATAATGTGCAAGTGTGTCTAAAATTGCAGTATGGTGGTTGTCAAAATATTCTAATTTCAATACACCTGTTAAGCGGATGTAGCTGACTAGAGTATTGTGTTTTTGGAAAGCATAGAAATTTTGGTCCAAAAAGCCCTCTCATCCCTTTTTTTTTTCTCAAGTAAAGAAATATAAAACACAACTAATCTTGAGGTTATGTAACAAAAATGGGAATACTATTCATGAATTCACTTGCGTGACATCCTCTGTGATTCGCTGACTGTTTCTTGTTTTTTTTTGGGGGGGGGGGTTGAGATGGCCTGTCTTGACTGTCGCTGAGATTTCTGGTTAATTCATCCCTGAGGCCAATGAGAAGACAGGAAAAGGCTGTCGCAACACCAGGAGGAATGTAATTGGCTGAACAAGCCTGACAAGAATGCCTGGTATTAATAGCCATTGGTCATCGGAGCACGGAAACAAGAGCCCGTGGAGCTCATGGTTAGTCGGGTAGGAGCCATGAGTCTTCACGCGCATACTGTACACACATAAATACGAAGCCATTTTGGCAGCAAGTAATGCAGTCTGACATGGATTAGTTATTCTAGAAACATTTGTCAAAATAGTGCGTCTATTCATTGCATCATTTGATTTCGGTCCCAGTGATCAGTTCCAACAAAAGTCCATCTTAACCCTTTCAGGGACAGCGTTTACTACAGTGGACAGCCTATCATGTTATCAGTTGACAGGTTATCATTATTAGTGCAAAATCCACTTATGAACCTTCCGTGGTCAAGTTTTACTCACAGAATCCACAGCGAGTCCCTCCCTCAAACACAAAGCCATTTGGCACAGCGCCATATCGACGTAAAGAGGACAGCTTCCAGTGGCCAATGATGGCGGGAGGGAGGCCCCTGGTGAGGGCCAATAGGTTGTTGCACAGGTGGAGAGAAGCGGGGCCAATCTCCAATTTGGTACCGGGCTCCACAGTGACACCAAATCTGTGGACTGCAGGGCCAAAACAGAGAGGGACAAAATGTGCATGAGACAAAATTGTGGCATGTTCCCTATTCCCATTCACCCAGGTAACAGTATTGTCTGGGAATTAATTAAATCCATCGCAGCTGGACTACCAGAACTGTCCTAAATGCCGGAGGACACAAATAAAACCCCAACTGAGGAACTGTTTTCTCAAAGATGACAACACCTCGCATTCACATTCCCAACAGGCTCAACATGCTTATTTTCAAAATGTGATAAATTATGTTCGTACTGGCGAAAGCAAAATATCATCGCCCAGGAATACTTTGGAAAGAAACAGATTGGTTGCATCTATCAAATTCTGCTCATATCGCATTATACACAGTTGGTGTGGCTTGAGCATGACTAAAAACATGAATATACTGTAATTGCATTTTGTAAATTTACTTAAGAATCAAATATCCAGCATGTAATTAAAAATACGATTGGCTCTGACAAGGTATTCCAACAATCAGCGTGCTACACACGAACAAAGTTATGATCAGTTCAAGTAGTTTTCCGAAAGTCATTCAATACAATTGAACAAATACAATATTCACAAAAAGTTTGCTGTAATTGACGTTAGGGTAACATTTCAGGATCAATCTAGAATGAATGCACTGTAACTTTGACAGGTGAATTTAACCTTTCAGTACTTTCATTTTTATACAAAGCCAATTCCAATGAAGTTAGGACATTGTGTTGAATATAAATATTAACAGAATGCTCGGATTTGTAAATCAGATTCAACCTGAATTTAATTAAATACACTGCATAGACAAGACAATGTAATTGTCAAACTGATAAACAAATTTTATTTTGCAAATAATCAGGAACTTTAAATCTTATGATTGCAACACGTTCCCAAAAGGTTGGGACAGGGGCCTGTTTACCACTCTGTTACATCACCTTCTCTTCTAACAACATTCAATACACGTTTGGGAACTGAGGACACAAATTGTTGAAGCTTTGTAGGTGGAATTCTTTTCCGTTCTCGCTCGACGTACAGCTTCAGTTGTTCAACAGTCCGGGATCTCCTTTGGCGTATTTTACACTTCATAATGCAGCACATATTTTCAATGGGAGACAGGTCAGGACTGCAGGCAGGCCAGTCTAGTACACACACTCTTACCACGAAGCCATGTTGTTGTAATACGTGCAGAATTTGGCAGACACCGCATGATTTAGATACACTGATAGATAGTGCGCTCCATTTACTATTTTAATCACTGGATTTTTCATCTGTTGGACTATGCCGTGTTTTTTTGAAGGCGGGGGCGGGGGGAGACTGACTGAAGACAGCCTGGCGGAGCAATGAAATTTACTGACGGAAGCGATGACAGAAGTGTTAAAATAACACGATGGACTGACCGACTAATGATTACAGTTTGGTTCAGCTTGAAAAGATGACATACCGATGATGACAGAGCAGCAGGCTGCTGAGGGATGACAAATGACGGACTGGCAACATTTTGTAAATTGCCCACCTCGGGACAGGCATACTCAACACATTTACATTGGACATTTACAACGAAAAAAAACACAAAATCAGCGAAAAAAAAAGAGAAAAAACCCCACCTGTTATGAGATTTTCCATAAAGGTGTGCTGACAGAAAAAGATGTCAAGTGCATGTCGCAGCGTTCACACATGACACGCACACCCGATGATGTCGCAAATTGCGACCCGGCAAAACAGTTGGGCAAGAAGTAATGAAGGTGTAGAGTACATTAAAAAGAAGATTTACCCTGAAATGTCAGCCGAAAGATAAATATTCCCAATTTAGCACAAATTAACTAATCCTATACAACACAAATGATATGTAACATAATACATCTGTGGGGTTAGTCATGAGAACACCGTTTTTGTAGGACTCTCCATTTTAAGTGGCAGCATTCAGCATAAAAGTGGTTAGGCATAAAACTAGCCTCCTAAAAAATGCATTGAACAGTTCAAGGCTAGTTTCAGCGGAAGACTCCACCTTTGACCGTGCCACTAACCTTCCCCCAGGCTGTAGCGTACGCGGGAGTCCCAGGCCAGGAGAGCTTCTCGACTGTGGAAGCCCAGCACCAGGGTGTGTGCCAGGCAGAGGATAGAGAGTGTGTAACTGACGCCATCATAACCTGGCCCTGGTTCCACACCATATATGCCCTGAAAAAAATAAAGCATCAGTTGTACTAACAAAATATGATATTTTTAGAATATATAGAGCTGTGTTTACTCAAATGGATTACAACTGGAGTGCATCCTGTTTTACCGTCGGAAATTATGTGATAAAAGTGGATATTTGTGAAGACTTATGTCTTCACAAATAGACAGACATCATAATAATAAAATACAGTATATCATTAGTGTCCTGGAGCTCATTTACCTGCCTGTTGAGTGTTGCTAAAGCTAAAGTGTTGCAGCGTTTGTACTTTCCGGACCTGGATTTGACACCTCGAGCCCATTCCTACTTTCAATAGAACTCTTGTGATGTCCAACATCGCATTTGATTGGGTTGCTGTACCTCATTCTGTGCTTCATTGTGAGGTACAGTAATCCCTCGTTTATCGCGGTTAATGGGGACGAAAACCACCCACGATAAACGAAAATCCGCGAAGTAGCGTCCAATTACAATAAACAGGTAAAAAAAAAAAAAAAAAAAATTTAAGTCTGCAAACGGTCCGCGAGAAGCTGCAAAACAACAGTGAGTCACATAGAGCAACATATACAATACTGTACTCCATGTATATAAAAAAAAATTGTTTTTTTTAATGTTTGAAAAAATCCGCGATGCACTGAACCCGCGATAAATGAACTGCGAAGTAGTGAGGGATCACTGTACATACAATGTGACAGTAGTCCACATCTGAAAGGATTCACCATAAAAATGCAAATAAATTTCAAAAAGCTGTGTACCTCTAGTGTCACACCAAGACGCTCCTTGGCTTTCTTCTTGTCTTTGTAGGCGAGCACAGACAGACAGTCTGCAGGACACACGGACACAGTGTGACACTAGCTTTACACATTGGCAGTCACTTTGTGCTTAATATCAGCTCACAGAGTAGCTTTGTGTCATTTGTGGAGCGTGTCTATGCAACAGCTGTCATAGCAAACCCTAAAACAATGAGCTGAATCACTGGCGCAGCTGAGAATGACAATCACCGAACACCCGCAAACACGCACGTGCACAAGCACACGCCATTCCAACCACGTTTGCCTTATTTCTCATGAGTAGCCTGTTTTGCATTGAAATAATGAGACCACTTTTAGTTGACACAACAGGCTTTCTACTAAAGTCGGAGCCCGTTAACTATTTCTCGACGCCAATCTCCCAATTGATTGGAGAATTCACAAATAATTAAGTTTAAAATTAGATTATATTGACCGGTTTGCGAAACGTTCACATGCTGACGCGCAAAGGTTGCTTTCAAGTTCCGGGGAGGAGCACAGACTGCGCATATCCAAACGACAGTTTATGTTTAAATGGAAATATTCAAATGAGACAGTTGCAAAGTCTCAGATTGAATGAATATGTGCAAGTTTATTTGAAGAAAACAAAAATATTTACCTGCGACCGGAGAAGGCTTCCGAACGACGACCCACCGAGTCTTCCACTGGGAGTATGGACATAACAAACACAAAACAATAAAAACTTCCTTTATCCTTCCATAGAACACATATGCTTTACACGCATTGTTAAAGTTGATAATCAGACGTAAAGAAGAAAATGTCACCTTTTTCCCATCTCTAAACTTGACTTGTCCCTCCGCGACAACTGTATCCGTCATCTTCTGACATGGTTCCTAGCAGCTGCGTGTGCGCGTGTGCATGTACGTGTGCTTGCTTGTGTGCCTTGGCAGGGGGTGACTTCAAAATAGCCTCAGCCGGGCAAGCTCCACTTCCTCTCCGCCAGTCGGACCACCACGGTGGGGGTGATAAATGCCCCCCCCCCCGATCGCCGGGCTCCAGAAGAAGTTAGTACAGTTGTCTGAACTTCATGTTTCAACGTGAGATAAGTGGATTAATATGGCATTACTCGCATAAATTTCACTTATGTCCTAAATCTGGAGCGTGGGTCTCATTTATATAACTAAAACAGCTCTCAGTAGAACTTCCACAAATGCTGCGGTACGTCCGGGGGGGCTACATTCTGTTTGTGCAGGCTACTTTAGTGTCCATGGATGATAACGTAAAGATGGCGCCAGTTTGATATGGGGTGGAATGTCTCATAGGCATAGTAAAATGATTCTCCCCCCGATATTTTGGATTTTATGGGTATTAAATGTTTCCTTCTCCACAGAAAAAGCTCCACTAGATGTCAGAAAACGGTGATCAATCTTCATCAAAATGTATGTGGACATCTCATTTTATGCCAACTCAGCGTTTTAGACTGTCAAAGGTACTGAGACCATGTAGCATTAGTCTTTAAAACGCTACATCTGTGCTGTATGTTACACATACGTACAGCACATTTGACAATAAAGTTGTATTCAATTCAATTCAATTCAATAGTAGACTCAGAAACACTTAATTACCGGTATATCAAATAAGATGGAGCCAATTACTAGTGACTTTGGGCGAGAGGCAGTATACACCCTGGTTTAGTTGCCAGGCAATCCCAAGGCAAATATGGACAAACAACCATTCACCCCTAAGGAAAATGGAGAGTCCCCAGCCTCAGAGGGTGAAGATGTGATGACCACATGGCCACCACCACCTGTGACAAAGTGTACCTTATTAATAAAAAGAACATCCAGGCCTTGGGATTACCCTCATTTTTTTTTTCAACAGGCAAATAAATTCAGTTTAACATTTAATTGTTGGGTAAAGACCCATGACATCTGCTTTCAAATCATGAGCAGAAACCATGATTATTGAATACTTCACTCTTCATTGTACTCCTATTAAGAATTTTTTTTCCCTGTATGCCAACTTGCTGGCTGTAGCTCGATCCGAGCGGACAGACATTGTGCATGACATTGCACAGACTGAAAGTGGGACAGAGGTTCAAGGCATATGATTAATCTGCTCCTTTACCGCAAACTCTTCACATCCACTTTAAAGCTAACAAGCTGCTTCAGAGGCGAAGCTTCAGTCGGGTCAGACAGTAAGTAGGTAGAATCCTCATACAAATGTTGCTCTCAGTTTACTTTGTTCTATTGGACCTTTGCCCTCATTCTGCGCCAACTGTCTCTTGGTTTTCACCATGGAGGGAAGGTCCGAGGTCTGATACACGGCTGACCTCATCCTGCTACCACGGCAACACAGCTCTGAAGCCACATCCTCCCATTTCATGTCCAGTTCAGGTCCTGGAGGCCCACGTCGGCCTCGGGAGGCTGCGCGGGCATGCCCTGTGTTGTCAGAGTTATGACTCACAGCAACTTTGTCCACATCCAGGGCTTGTTTGGTAACTTTGCGGTTGGAGCGTGATGAAGGCGACTTGGATTTGCGTCGCGAGCGTAGAGGTGGCCGATGCGGGGCAGGATGAGGAGATGGAGAGGGAGGTGCACGGTTGGATGCTGTTCTGCTCACAACTTTGATATTCTCTCTTTTTTCCCTCCCGCTCCATCTGTCTCTGTTCTGACCTGAGGACAAAGAGGCTTCTATAAAAAAAAAAAAAAAAAACAATCAAAAAGCAACTGGTGGCGTTGGAAAAACATGCAAAAGCACAGCAAACATGCTTGGAAAACTTGTATGCCTCCAAGAAATGTAAAATCCCCATTCTTTGAGTCAGGCATGTTCAGCTCCGGTCCTTGAGGGCTGCTATCCTGTCTGTTTTATATGACCCCTTCCTCCAATACACCTAATTTAAATGGTCAGCACATCAGCAAGCACTGAGGAATCCTGATCACGATCCTGATGATGATAATGCTCAGCTATGTTGTCTGAGAGGCAATATCTGTTGCTTTCACCAAACAGATAATGTTTGTGTTTGTGTTAGCAGAATAATACATCCATCCATTTTCTAATCCGTTTATCCTCACAAGGGTCATGGACGTGCTGGAGCCGATCCCAGCTGTCTTCGAGTAATAGGTGGGGTACACCCTAAACTGGTGGCCAGCCAATCACCGGGCACAGAATAACATAAAAACTAGAAACTAAAATTATGGAGCTGCACATTTATCCCTCATATCGAATACTTTCCCATGCTCTACAGCTTTACAAAGTGAAATACTATTTTTTTACATTACACACACACACACACACACACACACACACACACACACACATACACACACGCACACACACTTTAATAGTTTGGCCTTGGCAGAGGCGTTCACACTCCCAACATGTCATTGTGCTTTGCAGTGGTGTACAACTGCACAAGATAAACAGAGTTGTTTGTAATATCACCTTATTTATCAACACAAGAGGGGCAAAACATCTCAGTATGATGTAGTGCATTTGTACAGCTTTTATAGGAAGTCATTAGCTTGTGTGCAAGTACCCCACAAACAGACCAGAGAGTGTATAACAGGACTGTATATCCTATCCAGGTTTGAGTGGCCATAAAGCAACATGCAATGTGAAGTGCCCAATGTACAGGAGGGGTGCCTGATGAGTACGTGTAACTCAATTAAATGAACAACAATTTAAGATGGGCAGTTTGATCCATTGGCTTGAGGCCATGAATATTAAGCTGCCTGAACTCACACTACAGTCCTCCCATTTACCCCAGATAACCCTGATCACTGAAGCCGAATTAAGATTTTTTTAAAATTGATTTATTTATTTTGACAAATCAGGCATATAACTTTTGTACCCATTTGAAAGACACCCCCCCCCCGTTACTGGGTGAGAGAGAGCGAGAGAGAGAGAGAGAGAGAGAAAGAGAGAGAGAGAGAGAGAGAGAGAGAGAGGGAATATCGTGGAAATGAGTATCCCCAAGATGTCCATGACATCATGGGAAAGAGCTACAGTGTCTACTCATTCATGCGCACTGATGCCACCAAGTGGCTGACAGAAACAATGGCTGCCCGTTTCTTTATACTGTATCGGTTTCTAATTAAAACCGAAGAGAACTGAGACTCACAAAAAATGTTACACTTCAATAGACTTCCTGTTTCAAAGGATTAGGTATGACTATTCGAAGAAACAGAAGACTCAAATCCAGCAGCTCTCTCTGCCTTTCCATCCATACATCGAAATTTACGTGTGTGTGTGTGTGTGTGTGTGTGTGTGTGTGTGTGTGTGTGTGTGTGTGTGTGTGTTTGTTGTTGCCAGCAGATGGCGCCATTTGCGATGAATAGCGAAACAGTTTTAATGGAGGAATTTCATTCTTCAAGCGATCCAGTTTTTAGACTATGACAGGGTTCCCATAAACGGAATTGAGGACTCAGAGTTAAAAATTGTCTCAAAGTGCCACATTACATAACTGCAAAGTAGTACAGGTCTGTTTGGGTCAGATTAATATGTATATGAATATTCACACCTTTGTATGTTTCCCCTTACCAACTTTAAGTAGTGTTTCTCTGACAAAGTCATCAAAGAAACATTTGATTGAACTTGACACTTAAAGCGTAACATGACAAAGCTTGCCGAGCAAGGCACTGAGCCAAAGGGAATCTATGCACATCTATTAGCCCAGTTCCTGCTCCAAAAAGCCTTTGTAGCCGTCAAACAAAAGCTTTGCCCTCTCTCCCTCAATTGTTTTTTTTTCTCTCTATCTCTCCCACATACATAATGAGAACTAAACAGAATAGGAAGTAGCAAAAGGGGAATGCCTATTTTTTTTTAAGGATTGAGAGATTGAGGCCAAGTGGAAAAAACTACACTATACAATGTACCTAAATTAATTTAGCCATATTCTGAACACTGGGATGAATATTTCTACAATTAGATTTTCCCTTTCAATCTGCATATTATTGTCAGATAAAATCAGCAATGAAATACAATGATGTAGTGCAGCATTGCCTGCAGACAGCTGCTTTGACATGTGCCATATCACAGGACTTGGATAAGGTCAAAGGACAGAGAAAAGAAAGAGAGGCTGCTCTGGTAAGACAAAGAGAGACTTCAAGCTCTGAACATTTATTGTATCTATTTACAGACACATTGCAAGAGAGCAGTTAAAGATGTTTTCTGCGACTTCGGTGAAGAAACAGCATAGCTGAAACACAGTTTAACAACAGCAACATATGGCGATTTCACTAGTTTGGCTATGTACAAATTAACACTTTTTGTTTTACCGACAGGGTGAAAAATAGAAGGTTGTAAGATAAATTAATATTTCCTCAGGGATACAACACATAACAGAAAAGATAGAAAGGGAACCATTTAGCCACAATCGTGTCGTGAGTCGAGAAGCATTCGAATTGGAGTTTTTGTGACTTTTGCCTTCATGAAGGATTTTAAATGATTAAAATGATGGTGATGTTTACAATGATTCCACTTTGTCCAAATACTTTTGAGCACCTGGTTGAATTGGAGGTGACAAAGATGGTTTGGTCATTCCCTTGACTGATGCAGGTTGTCTCTGTGAAAATGGATGGACCGATGAAAATGGAGGCACTGTACGGTCAATAAAACATCAAAATCACACATCATTTGGGGAAACCTCTTGAAGAAAAGCTCAAAGTCCACACCGTAATCATGTTGATTGTTGTACTTTGTATTCCGAAACAACTTTGGTTGACGTATAAAGGCAAAATGACAGAAACTCTGTCCCATTGCAAATACTTCCAGACCGACCTCCGCAGTAGTTATTTCATAAGAGTCACTGCAGGAAGCTACTCTCTGAAAACCTTTCGGGAATAACAAGACGGGCTTTGTGATGTTGTGCAATGAAGACAGGAGACTGCAAGATCGGTGCAAAACTTTCTCTCTTTTTGGTCTGCAAACACTGCCGGCATGCACAATGACTGTGGCCTGTGTTTGCATGAATGGCATTAGGAGTGCCTGAGGTGAGAGTGGTGAAAACACAGAATGTACTGTACTCAAGTTGGAACAAAGAACAGCTGAGCAAATGTGTTGGTTCATGCTACTCGAGCAGGGAATCTGCATTTGTCTGGTCAGTGCGCACTCTGCACTACCTCACACCAAGCATGTCATATAACTTACAACTTCCGTTCTTTTAGCGTGAATATACTTGTACTGTCAAGGTGATTTCAACACGTGTACAAATGTGTAGAGTCTTGTTCGCAATGGGCTAAAGTGCATCGTTATGTTCTTTTGGTGAGGGGAGTTGGATGAGAGTTTGGCACAGGTCTTCCCTGCACTCCCCCTCACGATTACATCTCAGGGAAAGAAAAATGAAAATCCACAGCAAGCCAGCTCAAAGGTTCACACAGATACACACCACGTCGGAAAATTCCAAGGACAACTTGTGACCTTTCATCATAATGCATCTATTCATCCTCGCTTCAGCTTCCTTTCCTGTGTCCGGCCAACTTAGGCGGCAGGTCACAGTGCATACATTAGTATTATAATACAACAAAGCACATTTGTGGTGTCAGCTGTTGAACAGCTACACCGAAGAAACGGAATGCTTCTGTACCACAGGGAGTGTTTTTTTTTTTTTTTTTTTAATTGTCCCGCAAGTTAGGACTGAGCTGACTAAAGGAAGGGAGGAGACGCGGATGCATTCGGTCTCAACTGAAAACGTCAAACTGACTTGAAAGAGGCCAATGCCACTCGCAGTCAGTTGAAGGGAGAGGTGAAAGGTCAAACGGGGGAAGTACCTGAGCAAGGCCGAATGTTCTGTGCTTGCTGTTGGGGTTGGGGGTGGGGTTTAGACTGCAGGCTGGAGGGGGTGACATAGTTGAGGCTGGCGCTACTGATGTCTGCCTCGCCCACGAGAGTCAGTTCCGACAAGGCGTCCTCTTCTAGCATCTGGGCCGAC